ACCTTTTCCCAAGGGTTTTTCAGATTGTTTTTCCATTAACAGACATGTGTCACCAGTCCCAGAAAAGTGGGTAGAAAATTGATTAAAAAAAAGGTTGGGGGGGGGGGGGGGGCAAACTTGACTCGAACTGATAACCACAATGGCTGAAAATTAAAGGCAATCAGGCAGACAAATCTAAGCAGATCGACTAGGGCGATTGCAGAACATATTTTGCAGAAATTGACATCGCAATAGCATTACCCGAAATTTCCTCGCATCAATATTTTATACATTATGAAATTTCTTGATTTACAAAATCATGTAACGGAAGTGGATGAAGGACAAGGTGGAGTCAGAAATGTCATTGTTTTCGTATTAGCACATGGGAATTTGCAAATCGATAAATAGTAGACACGTGTTTCAACTAAAATTCCTAGAAATATTATTTTTCAATGCTTCAAAAGTCTTGAAATGCCCCATAAGATTTCTAAAAATTAATATACGAAAGTGTGGAAAATAGATGGATGATGTAGAAGGGAGACAACTTTTGTCAAACCTTGGCTCGAAAACTGAATTGCAAAATTGCAATAATTGATATTCAGACATATAAGCCTTCTCCAAGAAACTTTAGTCCAAAATTGTTCTGTCGTTGGTCACCATTTTGGTCTGGGAACCGACGAAATGGAGGATGAAAAAGGATATCGCTGGGAAACCGAATATGAGAAGACTTGGTGAGTTGGATAATTTACTTTATTGGCATTGGCTATATTATTGCATAGTTAGGCCTTAATATGAATTAGTGCGGATATTGGCTTTGTTGGATGATTTGGATTGTAGCAAAAATGGTTAAACTTGATTAGCTTTTTTTTATTTAATAAATCTTTTGGTATCACCTGATAATAGTGATATGGTACCAACTCAGTAAGCATACTGAACTTAGTGTCTTGTCTGGGGTATTAAGTTTAACATTCCAAGCTTTTCATTGTTGAATCTTTCTAAAGGCAAGTATGTAAAACTATTAATGTCAAAAATGGATGCCAATGAAATTATTTTTCTTAAAAGATGTTTAATGTCTGTTGATTTCAGGGAAGCTATACATGAAGATGAGTCTGGTTCACTCCAAGCCAGTATTGATGACATCATTCATAAAGCTAAAAGGAAAAGAATGCTGGAAAAAATTGGAAACATCCGACTGGGAATGGTATGTCGCAAATGTTCATAAGAACAGCATCACTGCTTGGTTTGAAAAGAATCTTTGAAAAGATATTTTTCTCTTATATATTTATGAATTTAAGTAAAATTTGTTGATGTCTCAAAATTGTTCTTAGTTATGTCTCCATACCAACTGATACATTGTTTTCAGTTATTCTTTAAACATTTTCAGATGCGACATCTGTATTTAGTTATTGATATGTCAGAAACAATGTCAGAACAAGATTTAAAACCCACGCGACTACACTCAACAGTCAAAGTAAGTATTGTTTATCTCATTCTTGAGCATATATACTGTACGGTAAGTCATAATTAATGACTTATATTAACTCAATTTATATATTATATGTTATTTAGAAATATTAAAACAGTACTTAAATCATGTTGTTACAGAAAGGAAGCAGATAATAATTTGGTTGTAATTTCAGTTATTAGAACATTTTGTAGAAGAATATTTTGATCAGAATCCAATCAGTCAACTGGGCGTATTGGCAACGAGAAATAAGCGTGCCGAAAAAATCACAGAACTAGGAGGTAAATGGGTTTATTTTTGTATTTGACATCTCCTATATGTAATGTGAATAATGAAAAAAAAATATTAAAGAAGTATTTGAGTAAACTTGAGTAAAATAAAAACACTTCAGTTTTCTTGAATTGTAAAAGGAGATTTTCAGCACTTAGCAAGACTTAAATTGCTATAAAACTGGTATACATCAATTTCACTGCACATTTCTTTTAAGGCATTAGTGGTAAATACACACGAACATGCCTCCAAATTTTAATAATTAAGTAATCATTATTTTCAGGCAATCCAAGACGTCATATCAATACTCTACAAGGTTTAAAAGATAGAAAATGCCAAGGAGAACCTTCACTACAGAATTCTTTAGAACTAGCTATACAAACACTAAAGTAAGGTTTTATACATACAAGCTGTCCTCAGTAGCTTAAACAGTTGCAGAAAAGTATGATGTAAAACTCCATTTCATTTCATTTATAAATACCAAAACCATAATCACTATTCATGCAAATAAAATACTGCCTATGGAGTAAGATTCTATTTGGTAGATTTCATCTCATTTGATCTGAGTGTAATATCATGAAATATTGATATGATGACTAAAGACACATAATTTCCACAAGAGCAGAGATGCCTTTTACAGATATATGGGCATATTCTGATTCAAATCTACTATTCTGTAACAGAAATAATTGATTTTGTGTTTCTTTGTAGACATATGCCAAGTCATGCTAGTAGAGAAGTTTTGATTATATTGGGTAGTTTAACAACTTGTGATCCTGGTGATATTGATAATACTATTCAGGTATGATATCTTCATTATATACTCTGTTTCTGTTTCTGTTTCTTTATGAATATGAATTGCTGCTCTGTTGGATACAAAATCATCACATGATTATTAATGAACAGACATGATCAACAATGTCATATTTTTTATCTGTTATTGCTGGAATGATACATTTAATATAATAAATATATAACAATAATATTACATTGTTTAATGTCTAATTGCAAGAAATGTTAAACCTTTTTCAAAATATCACTTTAATATTTTTGATGACCTTGAGTGAATGACGTATTGTTTGGTTTCAGACATTAAAAGATTGTAATATCAGATGTTCTATTATTGGGTTAGCTGCTGAAATTTCTGTGTGTAAGAAATTATGTAAACAAACACAAGGTAGATTGTTATTCTTCATTTCTTAAAGACAGTGATAGATTAATGAAATAAATTAGCATATTAAAAAAGTTACAGGTAAAAGGAGGTCTGAATTATGTCATCAATAAATCTATATCTAATTTTCCCGTCCACTTTGGAGGTGGCAAAAGATGTGTACTTAAACGGCAATTGGCTGAATTTAAATTTTTTACCATGAAAGTGTCTAATGTCTAATTTTTGCTAGTATTTCAATATATATTATAGGAAAATATAATGTTATATTAGATGAAAGTCATTATAAATATTTATTAGATCAACATATATCTCCACCACCTGCTACGGTAAGTTTACTTGAATTCTCTGGGTTATTTTTTTTATTACGGTATAAGTCCTCTTATTGCCAATAGCTGATGGTGATATAATTTTTATTCTTTTAATTTTTTTAGAAAGTTTAATATTTATTAATGGTTACTCATATGTTGTAATATATATATGTACAATCTAGAAATTTTTGTTGGATTTATTTTTTACTGTGTACTGGCCACAAATTGTAATTTTATGAATGTGAAACATCACATTGTGAATGGTCGATAAGCCTCTACAAGGTCCACTGGTACAGGATTGCTGGAAGAGCTAGACTAAAGAGATTCAGATGACAGGTACACAACTGTTGAAATCAAACTAGTGTGTTAAAAGAGGTTTTTTTGGCAAATCGTTCAGAAAGGATGGTCCTATATAATGCCTTTCCCTAATAAAGAAATTTGTTTTTTCCAGTCAAATACAGCATCATCCTTGATTAAAATGGGTAAGTTTAGATCCTGTACTTTATTAAAGATGGGGACTTGCAGTCAAACTTTCTTTGTTTGTTTATTCTCTATTCTTTTTTCAAACTGTTGAAGTAATTGAATTATTTCAATATTTTAGGTTTTCCCCACCATTCATTGAGCAATGTAAATAAAGAAGAGAGACCATCAATGTGTATGTGGTGAGTGTGGGTCAATTTCTTTTGATTTTTGGTACAACCGACTGTTATCTTGCTTTGATTTATATGGAAAACTATTTCTGAACTCTGTTCAAACTGTAAAAAATTTTTTGTATGTAACGTTTATATTCCCTACAATAATTGTGGTTGGTACTTCTAGTGAGACAAGGCAAGCTCACCCTTCAAGAACATCTGATGCCATACTTTTGACTCTTATGATAAGACTGATATTCATTTCAGCCATCTAGATAGTAAGAATAATGAAGGTTTTAGTACTGTTGGATATTTCTGTCCTCAGTGTAAATCTAAATATTGTGAATTACCTGTCGAGTGCAAGGCGTGTGGTAAGTAATTTTAAACTTTGCCACATAATGGTCAATCAAAAAAATTGCTTCTTTTGAGTAAAGCACTGAAAAATGCATTTAGTCCAAGACAAAGATATAAATCAATTCAATGTTGGTAAAAATGAGCTCTTTTAATCAACAAATTCAGTACAGATTCCAGTTTCACAAAAAATCTTCCTGTACCTAAAACTTTCAAAATATTTCGGTCCTTATCATTTCAGGCTTAACTCTGGTCTCAGCGCCACATTTAGCTCGATCCTATCATCATTTATTTCCTCTAGACTCATTTAAAGAAATTCCAAGAACAACTTTAGAAGATGTAGAAAAATTGTAAGTTATTTTTTAAAACATTGAAGTGAGAGAAAGTGTTGAGTAGAATTCATAGATTAATATTCAATCCTATTTGTTCATCCTTCTCATGAATATTATTTTGATAGCATTTTCTTCTATAATTAAGGCAATCAAACTTTGAGACTAATCCTATGTGTGATTTGAATTTCAGACATTGTTTTTCCTGTTTATCTCAACTTAAAGATATCAATGTGAGTAAATGTGTCTTGTCTTATTTAGATTTTTCCTCAATTTCTAATATTATTCCCTGTGAATGTTATTGGAAATTTTAGCTCAGATCTATTGTTTAATTGCTACTGAAATAAAGCTTTTTTTTAAGCTTTGGTAATAAATCAATAAATTGATCAACATCTCAATGCTTAATCCACATAATATGGGCAAATAAACATATATTTATTAATCTCTTCTCCAATTTCTATTGTAGATATATCAATGTACACAATGTATGAAGATGTTTTGTTTGGATTGTGATCTATTTATTCATGAAACTCTACATTCCTGTCCTGGATGTTCTAGTCATAGAGGGACACAACATGACAGAATGGACACAACATGAAATGGTGCATTTCCTTAGAACTGCTCATGTTACAACAATATAAACACATTCAGACTTTTCATGATACCTTGATATGTCAGGATGAAAATGGACACATATAGCTACTGGTAGACATTCCTATCACTATGGACACATCCAGGAACAGCTCTGTATGATATGGATGTGGCCAGTTGTAAAAGATTAAATACATGATGTTCCTAATTAAAGCAATAAAGCTACAATATTTGTCAAATATATTCGTTAATAAACAATTTATTGATAAAGAATTTTCTGATGAGAAGTTTCTTACTATGTTTGGACTCTTTTATGATAAATTGACAGTGTTTTCCGAGGTTGGAAGTAAAAAAAGGATACACGCATCTAAATATTTGCTTCATAATTAAAGGGACAGGTATACGATTCGTTAGGCCAATCGTACCTTAGTCTCAGAAGGGGGAATTTTTTAGCTAAATAAGAAATAGTGTTCACAGCTCACTCTCGCAATTTGAGCACATCTGCCCCTTTAATATTCTCCTCAAGGGATATCAAAAGGTTAAGCAAATATTTAGATGAATTTATCCCTTTACATCCTTAAGTGGTCAGAAAATAATAAAGTTGGAAAAACAAAAGGACATTGGGGATGCTTATAGCCTGTTTTTCACCATTCAGATTTTCCATCTGATGTATGTTGTTCCTGTAAATGAATCTCAAAAAATCTTAACAGATTAATAGATCACGAGTCACAAGAGATAATCTATTAAGTTTTTCATCATCAACAGACATCTGATGAAAAATCAAAATGGTGGTATAACAATTCCTAAAATAATTTGTTTGTGTGATTATCCAGATATGCACAAATGTCATTGATGTACACTTATGTTTTCTGGAAAGGAAAGAAGGGGTAGAAAATACAGATCTGATAAATGGTGCATACACCTTTTGAATTCAAGCATAAATCTTGAATACAAGGCAACAGATCCCATCTTAACTGCTCACAATATTGACAAAATAAAATAGCCTTAAAGTCAAACATTACAAATTATGAAAATATGATTTAATAAATATTACAATTGAATTTTTACATGATAGATTATAAACAAATTTAGATGTATGATTTCTTGGCATGCTTTTAATTTAAATCACACAGTTCAATTTCAAGATTGCTTTTAGTAAAGAGATCTATCTTTGATGGTCATTTTATAATTAATGCAAAAACTAACATGATCCATATTATGAATGATCCAGATATGTTGTTACTTTTATTACATAACTCTTCCTCACAGTTACAAACAGTAACAAGCTGCTCCTCTGTTCGTGTTCCTAAGAATGGAATTGTATCAGTCACTTTTATTAGTTTCTCAAAACAAATCTGTTCATATAAACTGGATTCTTGTGATCTAGGTCCACCACTCAAACAATATCTCAAGACTGAAAAACAATGAGAATCAAGGCAGGGAAATATGGAGGAATAACGTTGCCAAAATTGTCAATTGTGTTGCAGCTTTAAAATACCAATGTTGTCATTACAAAATGTATGCATTACTGCTGCAAAGTACAATTGTCAATTTGTAAAAATGTGTAAGTATTCTACAAAATCCAATGAAATGCCACAATGTATAATGCTTAGTGTTAAATGTTAATGCATTCTTGTGGCATTTCATTGGATAAATTTTGCATTTATACAAATCAACAATCGTACTTTGCAGCATTGACAAATTTATTTTGTATTGACAAAATTGGTATTTTAAATCTGCAATGCAACACAATCGATAATTTTGGCAACTTTATACCTCCATAGGGAATGCAATTTGAAAATTTTGTGCAGTCCCAGGGACATTTTCAACAATATGTGCATATCAGTCCAGAATGAATTGCTAACTTAAACCACACTGACTTTACCATTATCATCAAAACTTCCTTTTAAAACAGAGACAACTTTTGGTGATAAAAGTTTTCAATCATTCCTGCATTTGCATAAAGATCTTTGATTTTAATACCATTTAGAGTCAAATTTCTAACTTCAAACAGCAATCCTAAAATGGCCAGTGTCACACATTTTTGCAGCCATGGAGACGGCAACACTAGTTTATATTTTACATCAAAGAATCCCTTACCATGTCCTCTATAAATCATCTTCTGACATTCACTACCTTGTGGGCAATGAACTTGAAAATCTATTCTAGGAGTGAATGGGTCTCTACATCTCATATCTATCATGGTTGAACAGTTGTAACATCGATCACCTGAAATTTCCAATGTTTTTCAACAGCAGCTCATAATTTACTATCCCTAGAGACATAGCTATTTGTTGCATACTTATTGTCTATGTACCTCTTCTAAGGCCATGCTAAGCAAAAAAACTAAAATTCTGAGCATACCTCAAGTTGTGCCAGAGATAGGTGTTGAAAGCCACTTTTTTAACCATTGACTGTAGCATCAGAATTTTTCTAACCTCCAGGAGAAAAAAATCACAACACCTAATTGCCTAGCTACCGACTGAGCTATTCCACTTCTATCAGTGGTTATTGAAATTACAATGGGCTCCATTTTCACAATATCATGACAATGGATTTGATTGGTTTGTACGCTAGTAGTTACATGGGCAGCTATGTTGTTACAGTCTTGTTAAGGGCTCTGTATCCAATCCAAGCAACTTCTTGCATACAAACTACCGTGAAACATCAAGTGCCTGATGATGTAAGTGTATTTGATATGAGATTGAAATACCTTGACATTGTGAAGATGCTTAGGCCCTAACAGAACTATTCTCATTCCATCAGTAGAGTTGACCTCTTGTTCTAATCGAGTGCGCCTTCATTGCCTCCATGCTATAAGCCCAGGTCTTTCCTTGCAGAAACAATCTAGCTTAATCATGGCAACTACTGTCTGACTACATTGAGCTATGAATTGAATTTTTTCTCTCATTTCATAAATATTATTTAAAATATAATTTTCTACTTTATGCCATTTGTCTTGTAATGTCTTCGGGTCCATAGAAATATCAGGTTCAGTGATTTTACATTTGAAATAGGCACAATTCCCTCCCAGAAAATTCATGTGGAAATGACCTAACTTTTCGGACTGAAAATTCACCTCTGTAAAATCGTGTTTACAAATAATTACTTTTCCAGTGGATGACATTTTCATCAACCCAAAGACAATCAAAAACTCCTAGTAGTATTTTGTAATTGGTGTTTCAGTTCATATAACAATGATTGCCAAAATTCAATTCAGAAATCTGTGCAGTCAGAGAGGGAGATTTTGTAGTCTACTCATTCAAATCAAATAGTCTAGACTCTAGACTAGACTAGCCTAATTCAAATTTACTAATAAATAAAACGAGAGAACAAAATAAGACAACAGTTACCATTAGATTTTGTAATTATGCAGGCGATTAACAGGAAGTTTGAAATATACCAAATGTTATTCATTATCATTTAAAGTTTGTCTGTTTTTTAACTTATTTTTCCGAAAATTTAATTTGATGTTCCCGCCATTTTAACTTTTTAGTGATCACATGTCAGTCACGTGACGCAAGAAGGGACAATACTCTTGATATATCCAATCGAATCTATACGATATACTCTTCAGAAGAAATTAACTCAACATACAGTGCAAGTTATGCGTAAGGCATTTCAGACTAGTAACATTTTTTAGTATACTGATCGTATTTCCCCAAAATATATATCAAAAATCAGAAACACATGAATTGAATTAATATATTTTTTTTTATTAAACATGAACAACATAGATAAAGAGAACCCACGTTTCCTCGACTAGTCCTTTTGGTAAATGGAGGACCACGTAGCATCTTTGACAACACATTTAGACACATTCACACATCTCATACCATTCATTACTAATACCACACATCCGTACCATAAATAGGCTACATCGGGTGACATTTTTAATTCGCCGTTTCCCTTCTCACCTGTAAGCAAAAAAAAAATCCTTTAACATTACCTCAAAAACTCCAGGAGTGTGAAATGTTTTAAAACAGGACTGAAAAGGGACCTACGATAATAAGAGAGACTAGAATTATTTTACAAATATTTTTTCATCTTTAATGTTGTAAAGATTACTTTTATTTCATTTCTTTTTTTACATATATTTAAATCATCTTAATATGAGCCTTAATTTTCATACGTTCATTTTCTATTATATTTCTATTTTCCACTTTTGTTACCTTATCATTTTGTAAATATGTTATTGTATTTGTATGTAGAAAGAGCCACTGGGTCTCTAATAAGTTATTATTATCATTATTATAGTACCGCTAATTGAGGTCTTAAGTAAAATGTAAACATTTTTTGTACGAACTAACAGATTGGAGTATCGAAATAATTGAATTACTGACTTACTTTCCAGCAAAACCCGTGGCATCAAATACCGGAGATCCATTACCACTATTGTAAATATTGGTCCCTAAACCACTTCCAATTCCTGGAGATCCAAAACCGCTTCCCAAACCAGAACCGAACCCGCCACCTAGTGAAGGCGAAGCTATTCCATTTCCAAAACCGGAACCAATACCACTTCCAAATCCAGAACCAATCCCGCTTCCGAATCCTGAACCAAATCCACTTCCAAATGAAGATCCGATTGGTCCAATCGCTCCGCTTCCAGAGAATCCAATAGTATTATCATAGCCATTCCCACCAAAACCGATTCCGGTATTAGTTCCAAAACTATCGAATCCACCTAATCTATTTCCAAACCCACCCCCGAAACTACTGAATCCAGGTGACCCAAATCCACCTCCAAATCCACTGTCAAAACCACCAATCCCCGGACTTCCAAATCCACCATAAGCTGAATTTCCTAGTCCATTTGAACCGAAACCCGATCCACCAAGTCCATTTAAACCGAAACCAGATCCTCCAAGTCCATTTAACCCGAATCCGGATCCACCAAATCCATTTAAACCAGATTGGCCAAAACTACCAAATCCAGGAGAACCATAAGGAGACCCAAATAGTCCAGATCTGGAATTGAATCCAGTTCCGATTCCTGATCCTGGAAATGCTGTCCCTCCAAATCCACCTGGTCCAGAGAAGCCAGGTCCTCCAAATGGCGATCCAAATGCCCTGGGTTGTCCTCCAAATCCAGACGATGCAAAAGGAGGTGGTTGGAAGCCTATTCCAGAACCAAATTGTGGTCCGAATCCGAAGCGGGGACTGAAACCGCCCCGCACATTAAAGCCGAAACCTTGTGGACTGAATGGAGGACTAATGATTCCGGCACTAGGTGATCCAGGTGGGCCTGGTAGTTCTGGAGGAGGAGGTCCACCATTTGGTGGTGGAGGTGGAGGCGGCGGTCCATTATTCAGAACTTCTCCACTGTGAGCTCCGTCCGACTCCCAAACAAATGCACCTACAAAATGTAATATTACAAAAAGATTAGTATCGAAGAAAAAAGTATAATTGTTGGTCAATGCTCCTGATGCAGACGTAGCTTTACGAAGCTATGATGTAAGATGCTCGGGCGCATTGTGTTATCTTCAAACTGACGTACGACTATAGATATTCTTTATAATAAAACCAAAATAAAACTGTACTTACAAATCAATGCAAAGTAAAATATCCTCATGTTTTAGTCGTTACTATCTTCAACGCTCTTGTGAAAAGTTAAACTCCAATTAATAAGTCCACAATATATATATGGTCACTAAAGGCGGAAGGGATCAGACCGTAGCTAGCCACTCGCCAGGCGGAAACGTGAATTTTTTTATATTGCAGATTATTTAATTGTGAGTAATAGCAGGTCAGATGAAGAATGAGAGGCAAAATATTTGTTTTTAGGAGATAAGAGTGTAAATTCGGTCTAATCTTGTAATTAATATAAAAAAATTGGGGTGGTCATTTGGGATAAAGCACAAATTTCTGGTGAAAAATTTCATATTTAGTAAAAAAAATAAATCAATAAATGAAATTAGTTTCAACCTACTTTGCTGCTTCATTTCTGGGTTTATTTAAAGTAGAAAAGAATGATGTGCAGCCTTTTTTACCTTTAAAACCTACCATCTAAAACAGCAAAAGTAGACATGGTACAAGTCCAAAACGTTTGTAAGAAATTTTTAAATGACATAATCTCATGAATCATTCATTGCAATATACTTATGATATATTTCTCATGTCCATGTCCAAGCTTAACAGTTTTGAAATATTTATTACAACTGGATGAAAGTGGACTCAATGACCTAAAATTTAAATATCTTCCGGCTTTTCATAAAAAATATTGATAAACAATAATGTTGTGGTCCATACAAGTGAATGGTATATAAAGTGATTTATGAATACGGTGTAACACAGGGTTACCTTTTGTCACCTATGTTATTAATTCTTGTGATAATAATCACCTTCCTCTACATTTTAAATATCTACCGAATTTTTATGAAATTTTTAATCCAAATCGAAGTAGCTAACCCTTCTGGACTACCAACACCCTGGTTGATCAAAGTTTACGGGATGGTACATCGTGTATCATTGGCTCCATTTATATAAAGGCCTAAAAGACATCAGAAGGCTGTTCCACGGACAACTTGTTTTGTTACCCATTTCCACCATGAGGTCAGGTTCGATGCCATGGAGTTATCTATTGCTCTATGACCTAGGCCAGTGCTTCCATTACAATTCGTCTTAATACACCTCGATGAGAGAAGACAACTGATGATTCATTGTAATATATTTTATACAATATGTAATAATAGTGGTTTTTAAAATTACAATATTTTATACAAATCATTTTTTACAATTCTTATATAGTATATTATATATAGAAAAAACGTGGGCGACTGGGTAAGATACACATCCCTAAACCGGCAAGGAAGCTGATGTTTTGAAGGGATTTTAACTGGGTGGAGATTACTGACACATTTTATTAACGTTGCAAAGTGCTAATTCCTAAAAATGATAAAATTTGCAAATCCTCAAATGATCCTCCGAGCAGAATTAAGATGTAGGTAGGAGCTATTTATTCAAATTTATTCAAATTTATTCAAATGTGAAGAGACAAGTTTCTTGGATAGATCTCATCTAGAGAACATTTAAAACAGATCAGTGTTTTGATTTGCAATCAACTAAAAGAAGTGGTGTGTCCTACAACTTGTTAGAAATTGGGTATTGTCATGCTATCAAAGCTCTCATGATGAGACTCTCGACAAATTCATTATTTAAGCTGTAACCAAAACAGGTAATAACCCAGAGTTACTAAATAAACATAATGTGGTTGCATATTTCATAAAAATTGCATATAAATACCAGTTAATATATATACAACTAAATATACATATAGCAATAAATACAGACAGGTTAGCTCCCTTTAGATATTCAGTCTATAGGAGTTACTTCCCTTCAACAATATGGTCTAATAAAGTAAATGATTGCACAAGCATAAGGTTTAGTTTAACAATTGATGAAATAAGATTATTTAAAGAGCACAAAAGGATATCACACATTTTGTTTGTTGAGACAAATGTTTTAAAAGGTTTTATATTATACAAAGGCTGGAAACTGTTCCAGAGACAAACATATTGAACATCATAAATGAACATCATAAGTGAACTCTGCTGAACATGCAACATTGTAATTAAATGAAAATTGTACCTTATACCGATTTGAAGAAAAGAAGTAGAGGATCTAAAGAGAAATACTGTTTTATATTTGCTTTTTGCTTGTTGTTCAAGCAAGTTGGTTGTTATAGGCCTTATTCACACGTCGGCCATGTTGAAACCACTTTGATACCTTTAAAGCTTTCTTCTCCTATTCAACTAACTCAAAACTAATCATATTTTACATTATTATCATCAGAGTTGATTAAGGTATTTAATGATATCTTCAGACGAAGTTTACACTCACACATTCCTGAGAAATGGCAGTTTAATGCCCATTTTCTCGCCTTCGTTCAGGTGTTGTCACATAGGCTAATCCTTCATATGACGTCACCATCTTATCAATGGATCACGTAATTTGCGTTATGAACATAGATTTCAAGGTGTGACTATAACGTCTATTGGCCAACATGCCAAATCATGTACCAAGAAGCATAAGTGTAACGGACCAAAAAGATTCATTGTAATTCCCACCTATCAAGCTATGTACTAAACAGACCAATGTAAAAAATCAATTTTAAGAAATTGTGCATGATAATGAGATCAAAAGCAGGTACTCAAAGACTAAACACAAAACCAAAACAACAAAAATGCAGATCTTTAAATACACAGTTTTACTTTATGATATAAATAGTTGCCAAGCAAAGGGCTTTTTATAATATTTTACATATTACATCAGGCTTTATAATAAACATATATTTTCAATGATATAAACATGCACTCTACTGGTATGTCATTATGAATTTTTGCATCAGTGCTGAATCAAAATTCAATGAACAAAAATGCCCCTACAAAATTTAATGATGTAAAACAATTAATATCAAATATCAAAATTCTATCATAGCAATTAATATGTTCAGTTTTCTACATTATAGAAGTGAGAGTGAAATTTTGCTGTAATTGGTATAATGTACTATGTTTTGAGGACATCTCTGACTGATTTCAAGAGACATTCCTATGTTTGGTTTGAATAAATCAAATTCAAGCATTTGGTAAAGCAAATGCCAATATAGTTCGAGCACATTTTTTCGCAGTGAGACAATGAAATGAGCAATATTCTAAAACCCCTGAAGAATTTGTAAAATACATGTAATATATCAGTAATCATTTTCCTGATGATCCTATATCAAGGTCAAGTTTTGTCTTCAAGGTCACACTCATTTTCTCTCATTTGTTATTATTTATCTGTCGGAGTCAAATGCAGATTTTTTTTCAAACAATTCCTTCAATTTCAGCACATTGTACAATTCAAAATCATATCTTGTACCAATTGGTTTGAAACAGACAATACAGAAACAGATTTTCCCAGTTAGTCTAATTAATATTTCATGATAAAATTAACTACTCTTTTTAAATTCAAAATGTCCTCTATACCAGTAACAGCCCTATGTTCCAACTCAAATCAGGTATGACTGTTTATATAATAACCACAGCCTAAAGCCTTCTCTTCCAAGCACTACTTCAATCTCATAGAACTGGGTCATATAAACCCATAGCCATCTATCACTCATATTGGTTGACAATGTCACATTCTTCAGAAGACTTTTCAAGCACAATACTGCATCACCATAATATGAAGGTAGCACCATGTGGAAGAAATTCTGAGAGAACCAATCCTCCTGATAAGGATCTTTCTTTCAAATCACAGATTTTATCATAAATCATATCACACTTCCCTGAAAAGATAAATAAATTTTGAGATTAAAGTACAAATTGATTGCATGAAACATAAACAATGATCCAATGAGAAAGAATGAATGACAAAAAAATTGTATTAAATCAAAATATAAAATTCCCCTAAGAAAATGGAATTAATCATATTTTAAAAAAAGCCTGCAACCTGCAGCCTGCAAAAAAAATAGTTAAATATACACTACAGTTTTTCATTTGCATTCAAGATAATCTGACAACTTTTCTTCCTTTTTAAAAAGAGAGTAAATGGTTTGAGATAAATAACAACACTTACGATGCTTCCACGTTAGAATTTAACAAGAGTTGTTTCTTCATTTTAACAATTTGAGAGTGAGTTAGTTTCCGACGTCCAGTCATTTCCGGGAGATCAACAGATGATATACCATCTTCTGGATCACTGGTTCGTAATTCTTGAAATATTTGAACAATGTCTGATGTAGATTTAGATTTGGAGCGTTTCGATTCTCGAGTTAGAGACACTATTTCTAAATCACTATTATCTATTGAGGAAGAGGCTTCATGGTGAATGTGCAACGAACAATCAGGACTCAATCCATTTTCAACTTCTTCGCTAATGTCACTTTCAGTATGAATATGTAACGAGCCTGTCGAACTAACACCACTTGACGAAGGAATACTTCGTATAGAGTCTGTACTCATTGTTTTGTGTCGTAACGAATGTTTACCATCCATATGGATGTCAACCATCCCATAATTCCAAGAAAGTCTTTTATGAATGCTGCTATCTTTGTCCTTTTTGTTCATATCTTGAATCGAGTCGGCCGTGTGGTAACGTTTCTCAGCACGTGTCCGTGAGATTCTACGTGAACTATTACGAGACTGGTTATCTTCGTCTGTGTAGTCTTGAAGATCAGGGTCACTGTCTGAGATAAGAGACATTGAGGAGAGATTGTGGACGTTATTTGGCACACTGCGAGAGATATTTAATAAAGTATGTTTATCACAAGTAGGGGAGTTATCTCCTGAACGTTTTCCTGTCCTTTCACTGCATGAATCTTCTGAACACAATGTAGCGTCACTAGAATCTTCCCGACTCGAGTCAGTCAGGTGATTTGTTTCTGCTACAGGTGTAGCAGCAGTCTTAATAATATTAGGTATAAATCGTCCTTCGTTTGAGTCGACACTATCAGTTCGGTTATACGCGTCCAAATCATCTTGTAAAGAATATCCATTCAATGGTGTATATTCCACTTGTTCAATATTAGCCACTGATTTTGAAAGCCTTTCTTTTTCTAATTTAAGTCTGGCTTCATTATAGGCATACTGAAAAATATTCAAGAAATATTATTAAGTGATAAAAAGTTGAAGGTAATTTGATTCATTGAGTATTTAAAAATTATTGATCAAAACTCCTGTAAAACTACTGTTTCACACAATTTTAATACAATCTAGTTTTAAGACATACAGCAATTTCATTGGTTAATTTTCGTGATGGACCAATCAACTAGCTGAATCATTATCATCATTTTAATTTAGGATTTTGTAACACTAGCTCCTAGACCAAGACAATAAACAGATACTAACCTGAGCTTTTTTGATATATTCCAGCCAGCATTTAACAGCTGATTCATTAGCATGGAAGGTATAGGCTGTACTTGGTACATGGTATTCATTTAAATATATTAACAGAAAACTCCCTAAAATAAGTGAAAATAGTCATAAAGCATTTTTCAAAATACTTAGGTCTATCACAACAGTTTTATTTGGCAACATAAAAGTAGAACGTGCCAAGCATGGCTGAATCATCCATAAATTGGCAGACTGAATTCAATTGTATTGTATTGATTTATAATTAGTATATATTTGCATACATTAGGAAGTTAATGCTTATCTAGCGTAGGTGTTTTAAATGTTCTGAGCCTTGACCTTAGTAATCTTGTCAACTGATGTAGTAATAAGTAAAACTTACCTTTATCTTTAAGATCATGTACCAGAATTCTATCAAGTCTCATTGGAGGTTTTAATACTTTATATTTATCCATTCTTTTATTAGATTTACAGATTAAAAACAAATCAGTGAATAGAAAACAGTCTACTTCCATCTGAAATATAGTACAATAAATTAGTGCCCTTGTCTGCAGATTGTTACAGAGTTACTGTTCTTTAATAGATTTCTTTTTGGATGATTTTGGATTTCATTAGTTTCAATTATTGTTTACTTAATGTAACTTTGGACAAGGTTTATGTGGTGTTTTTTTTTTGGTTTTTTTTTATCACAATGGTCACTTTGTAGAAAATCATGATATTATTATAGTTGGCCATAAATTATCCTGAAAGACAAAAAAAAAGAAAATTGTCCCTACCCTGGCTTGAGCATCTTTTAATTTCAATGCAGACTGCATCAATAATTTTCTACTGACTTGGTTAATACCAGGCATTGGAGCACGCAGGTCAAAGTTCGTGTTATATTCTTGCAGAATCTGAAAATATAAGAAATATTCCATAAACATTTGGTAGAAAAAGATGCAAAATTGGGAAAATATTTTGAAATTCAGATGAATTGAGAATGATTAGAAAACAAAGATGTCTGCCTTAACGAAAAGTGAGATTTACAAATGAAAATGAGCAAAGGGAAGTAACTTTGAGAAATAAGATATGATGAAAGGATCAGAGATGAAATATAAAGAGAGAATGAATAAAAATAAATCTGAAAAGGAATGAATGAATCCCATCACCAACTTACAGTGCAGATTACAATATAATGGGAATTGAACTAGTTCAACTTTCAACTTTCAACAGAATGTCTTAACAGTCCTCAACATGCACTCCACAATTAACTTTCAATCTCTTAAATAACATACTGACTTTGAATCATTCCAATATCTCAACTTGTCCACACTGGTGTATTAAACTTACATTATAGTGGTGACTGAATAATGGTTGCCATACCTGTGACAATCATATGCCTTAGAAGGAATTCAAATTTTTTGTACATGTAGGGGCCTACAGTATTTCAATAAATTTTTTAATTTTTGAAAAGTGTAAATATGACTCATGACCACATAATTACATGATATAATTGCCCAAGCTGCTCCACCAGCTGTTACTGAGTTGATGTTTCAATATATTTATACTCAGTGTTCAGTAGGAAAAGTTCAGTGATGTTGGCTTTAAATACCCAAGTCAGAAATTTGTCCAAAATCAAAACATTTTAACCTTCTTGAAATAATGTGCTTTCACAGGTATGTCACCAGAGTTGCATTTTTTTACAACATTGCAAAGCATTAACAAAAAATGTTGACATCAGGTTTCCAAACTGACACTAATACTACAATCACTCTACACAATTCTGACTTAAATCAGCAACTTGTTTGATCAAAATATAATCATAAAAATATCAAACACACTCTCTCTCAACAGATCACTGTCCTTTGTTAGTACAGACCTCTTTTCTGAACTTTTGGGAACATCTTAATGCCAAGCCAAAGACCGAAATTAAAACTACCTTTCCGATCTATAAACCATATTAAGAAATAAAGCCTGACTCAATTAAATTACCCTGAACTCCTATACAAATAGAATCAACAACTTTCTACCTTGTACCTTGTTTCACAATGGCTTAGATATAAATATTATTTGAAACAAGGGTTTCATAAAGTGAAAGTTAAAAAGATGACTCGTCTTCTCTTGAGACTGCCATATATATAAAAGACATATATAGAAATAGTCAATGAAATTTCTAGTTTGAGGTATACTTGAAGGAATTATGATTTTTGTATGAATTTTTGTGCAGTTCTAGTACTTCTGAATTCTATTTATTGGGATTTTTGCTATTCTATGAAAATATTGAAGCATGAAGTATTCTACTAATCAAAAATAGAAGCATTAATTTTTTGTGAAACAAGGTATTAACTTATAAACTTTAGAAGCAAGCAACTAACTTTTTATCTGTTTATATAGAGCTACTAACTAGAAGCAGCCATGCTCCCTACACCAGACGTAAAAACAGGACTGAATACATTACCTTTCTTTACACATAGAACACATCAGACTTAAAGCCATAACCTGCTATATTCCTACCTTTATATCACCATACATAGCAGGGACATGTCAGTCTCTTTAAGCAATGAAATATTGTTTTGCCTTGTGTAAGGCGGGAAACTAAATAAGTTTAATTGAAAAGACATTTTTAGCTTAAATGGGAGTAATTTCCTTTGTAATCAAGGTCTTAATCTTAAAGAACCATGAAAGATGTCATGATAAAAACAAATAAAGAGTAAGGAATGACTGAGAAAAAAGAAATGAAAATAATTGACAGAATGAATGAATGAATAGTAAATATATAGCAAGGAATAAAAGAGAGATATGCATAGCTAATAATGAGCCTCCATCTTGGATTTCTTTCTGAAATAAAATTCTTACCATGTGTCAAAAAGTATGGTTTGAACTTAAAAAGCAATAAAACAAACGCAAAAGACATAAAAAAATATAACTAACAAAAAATTAAAGTAGTTAGAAAAAGTGTTAATGCATACCATATAAGGACATGATGCTCAACACCCATGTTAGGAAAATACATGCCAGAAATACAAAATGACAGGTAATGAAAATGAAAAGTTGTTACCATGATCATGAACATACATGCGAGCACACACAGCTAGGTGGTGTTAATAGACCATGCAAATGTAAAAGGTCAGAGGTAAAAGGTCACGTCTGTACTGCAGTGAATAAACGTAAAATATTAGCGTGAAGAAAACAATATCAATTTTAATATCAACTATCACCATATAGACACATTTTTCCAAGAAGAACTGTAGGATAATAATAGATAGGGGATGAGTAATTAAAAACGCAACCATCAAAACATGCACCTCCATCTTTTTACTGTTGTTATTTAAAGTAAATAAAATAACAATGAGTATATGTTAAGTTTTAAGAATAATTTCTGCATCAAATATTCTTTTACACATCAGTTCTGCTTGGACAAATGTCTTTGTGTTAGTTTCTCATAGCTTTTAGTTAATATTCATCAACACTTTGATCTGAAGCAATTGTAAATGCCACTAAAATTGAAAATATTAAGTGCACATTGGCAGTGAATTAAAAAGCAAATCAGGTGAAAATGCAGTGGTTTGGATCAAGCTGGTGACTAAGAGCTATCAGAAAATAAATTTAAAACAATAAGTTTACAATATTAAATAAACAAACGGGAGAAAGAACAGAGTTTTAACAATTAGTTTTAAAAATTTTCATTTATCAGTAAGAATTTGTTTGCTTTTTGTTTGGGCTACTTCATATCAAAAATAGAGAACAAGAAATATAGAATAAGCATTTAGCTTTTTAGAAAATTGCATTATTGCCCAACTTTTTTGAGAATTTGAGATTGAAAATGAAGTCAAATCTACAGATCCTGTCATTTTTAACTTGTTACATTTGGAATATTTTGAATGCTTATTTTTATTTGTTAAAACTTTGTTATCATATCTGAAAGTAAAGATTACAATAGTTAAAAATAAAGCTGATAAAAAGATGTCTTTCACTTTGTTATCCAGGATATCCATTAAACATTGAGTCCTTTTAAGACAGGTATACAAATGAACTTTCCAAGAAATCTTGAAGTAAGAGTTATCCCCCTTTAGTCTTCAACAATTTCTTTTCAACATTTTGATATTTTAAAAGTAAATTTGCTTTTGGAATATAAGCAATTTCTAGTAATTGAATACAGTACTTAATGTAAACACTAAAGTAAAAAATACCAAAAGTTACTAACAAATTGAAAGACATTTTTTTAATATTTTTCAAACTAAAATATAGAAAATGTTAGTAAAAATCAGACATCATGATAAGAACTCATTACCTTAACGCACTCTTCATTTGGGGCCTCAATAGCATCATAAGGTTCTATTTTAGCTATAATTGACTCATATCGCTCCTGTTCTTGTTGATTACGTAACTGTGTATTCACATGGGTTACAAATCTGTCTATATGTTCAATCTGAAACAGAACATTATTTTGAAATAAACTCATGAATCATGGAGTGTTTTCTATGATAAATTCTAAAATTGTAAACACTTGTGAGACATGCACCCTTTTTTTCTTTCCTTAAAGTATCATACAATTAAACTCTTAAGATTTAAAAAGAGGCAAGAAACCAAAACTGCTGGAGGCATTATTTGAAAATCAAAACATTTAGTTTGCCATTTCCATGCATTTTGTTGTTTTATACTGAATGATTTGTGCCTTATCATTAGAAGACCACAGGCAAGTCTAAACATATTTTGATAACTGTTTTATAAAAATGGTCAACTGAACTTCGGGCAGATGTGAAAAGTAATGCTATGCCAAGAATGAACTTGTTGTTGCCTTTTAATTCATATTTTGTTACTAAACCAGGTTAAATTCAAAATAAAACTTACCATTTCCTCCAAATCCTGTCTTTGATGAGGATCTTCTGTTTTCTTTAATATAGCATTCACCAGTAGAGAATATTTAGTTAATCTCTGCATAGGTTTAGCCAATAAATCTGTTAGTTTTAATCTTTTACATTGTGGTTGTGCTTCTGCCCACTGAGAAAATAATAAAAAATAAAACTATTAAAACAAAAACTCGAACAAAATATTGATTTCAACGCTTCAGATTTGTCTTAAAAGAAATACTCTTGCCCAAGTTAGAATTATGGATCCAAAACATGTGCTACAAGCGAAGAACAAACTCGTGTTAACAGATTACCTTCTTCCATCAAAATAAACATTAATATTTGGACTGACTCTGAGTCAAGTCTGAAAATACTTACCACAACAAAAGTTTTAAAGAGTTCATTTTCACTATATTTAGTTCGTTGATAATCAACACAGTTTTTCTGATCAATACACCATTTTACATAGGGGTGAAATAATTTATGGAACTGAAAAATAAACAAGTCCAAAGCCATTTACTATTATTGTAATAAAATATGTTTAAATCAATCAAACCAGCTCAAATACAACATAAAAAATCACCTTTTCTTTAATGTCAAAACTTCTAACATGTTATCATAGTCACTATAATTACAGTATATCTAAATTTCTAAAGCGAACAAACACCAAGGTTCTTAGTGCGCTGCCAAAGATTTGAGAATCATCTTTTTCCATTATAATCTCTAAACAAATAAGTTTTAAGATTTTTATTTAACATTTAGTTTAATTTTAATTGACAGTGAGTTACGTGATGCGTAATGAAACACACATGTCGATTGTTTTAAGGAATAGTCTGGGACAATGGGAGGTTTTGAGAAGATCTGACAGAGCGAGATGGTGTATAAATGACAATCTAGTCTGTTATATAACTGGGTGCTGTGCAATTAAAGGTTATATGTTTGTAAGAGGATTTTATAAATGATACGTTGTTTAATAAGCAGCCAGTGCAAACTATCCAAAACTGGATTAATATGTTATAATAAAAGCACATCACCTTTTTTATACAATAATTACAAATTAATTGCGTATTAACCGATAGCATTTGATATTTTTTGTTTTGCTTTATCATTTAAGATAAGATATTTTCTGCATGATGATGATAATAATTGATAATATACAATGACTCACAGTGCAGTGTGCATATATAATACATAGGAAATGAGTTACATACCTGTGTTGTAAAACCCTGTTTAAATAAGGATGGATTAAGTGGTTGCCGTGACGATCTACTGTCATTTAAAACTGGTAATATATGTTGTTCCCAGAACTGACAGTTGACTTCTTCCAAGGCATCAATATTACTAAATAACTGCTCTGTTTCAATCTGAAAATACAATCAAATATCAGAGCTGCAACTTTTCTATTATCACAAGATAACCATTGATCAGACATAGAGTTTTATATTAAATATCATGCAAACTTAGACTCAGATTCAAATTAGATTATTATTTTCTCTTCTTGTGACAAATGTTTCTATAGGAGAGGATAACACCAAATATCACATTGCTTACTTTGGAGTAAATATGTTCCTATATTGTAAGTGATAATGGGTTTCCTATTTTTAACAGAAGGTTTGAAATGTCTTGTTAAATCTATTTCACCAAATTTGCTAAATAATTATGACAAATCCTGTGAATAACAGTGAGAAAATTAAACTTAGGTCTTCAGTAAAAATGAATGAAATCTTACTTACCTCTGATAATAACTGGTTATTCTGAATATTTAACAAACAATTTTTAAATACCTATAAATAAAACAGGTAAAATTAAGCAACGCTGTTTGTATAAATTAAATGACTATCAAGAACTTTATTAAAATAAACTGATAGTGAATATATCAAGAAATCAGTGTGTTTCCTTCTCAAGCGCATACACTACTAGCTCTCCTGATGAAGATGTAGTATCAGAAATGTGTTGACAGTAAGAGATGAGATGTATTGAAATATGGTAGGCCTACTTACATCAGTTATAACATTGAGATTTTTTATAAAAGATTTTTCTGTTTCTATTAACTCCCAGATAGCTTCCTGTTGATCATTCTGTATCTTGGACAGTACCTGAAATATATTGATTGAATGAACCTTCTTCACCTCAAACTACTAAATCAGTGTACCCATAGTCTAACTCTTTATAAATGGATGGTATCCCACAAGGAAGGTAAGATATGAATTGGAAAACGAAAACCATACTCATTGTAAATGATAAAATATTTCCACTTACCCCCACATTTTCTACGATATTTCTCCATGCTGGTTCCAGCTGGAAGTTTTCTTCATTGACTGGCATTTTACCCATGGCAACCAGGGGATGAAGGGGAGGTAATCCATTGGAACTATAATTTGACAAGAGTTCATTGAGCTGGTCATGTTTTTCTCGATCCTGAAATACAGAAGAAGAATCAAATTAAAAGCATGGTCATAATTGGTTTAGAGATGGCAATGGCCATAGAAAATGAATTTTTTAGATCTAAATATTTTACCCCTCATATCTTATTGAGCTACATTTACTCAGTCAAATATATATTCTTGGATTTGTTCCTTTGTTGTTTTGAATATGTTTAATTGTGTTTCTACAATAACATGTGAAATTGTTTGACAGAAGATGGTTTAAAGAAATTGTCCATATGGATCATGATTGGGGTGGTCAAATTGAAAGCTTGAGGGCAGGTAGAAAATATATATTGAATATATAATATAATGTTGTAAACAAGTACAAGTTATTAGCTTTGTTAAAATTGCTAGCTTCATTGATTTATATATAGTTATAACTATTGAATGAATGGAATGTATGTAATTTCTTCAAATAAAATTGATTTTATCAGCATTTTGAATATGTACAGCTAAACTATGTATGGAAATTGATTCAGCAAATATAATGAAAGAGTGTGTCTGTAACATGTATTAATGTCCAACTACAAATTTTACACTCTCCTGCCTATCCTATAGGAAATACAGTTTAGATGAACTGAATGCTACACAGGATCATCAAGTTTTGTGTGATGGAATTTTAGACTCTAAATCATGATTGTTGCTATCATTATCTGGAAAATTTGCTTTAAGGCATCAATATACACACAAAATATATTGTTACTTGAGTTAATCTTATGCTGTCAAAACCGGTTTTACATTATATAAATATGGTATAAAAAAATTTTGAAAGGGTTGATATTGTACCTTGAATCTGTGCATTTTAGTTTATATATATCCAGATAATTACACAGTTGTCCATAAAATCACTTTCCACACAATAGATATATAATCCTTATTTCAAATCTGTATTATCACAATCTTAACTTCATCTGAAAATTTTCAAAAATTTCTTACTAATCCATCAAATCAAAACTGTACAACATTTGGCAAAACATTCCCTTTAAATGACCCAACCCTAGCCAAATTGCAATTTAACGCTCATCATCAACTGATGAAACATTTCCTCAATATACTACCTCCACAAACACAGAAATCCATTAGAGTTGTCCAAAAACATGGAAGTCTACAGCATACAAGATAACACATCCAGGTAAAACCATACCTCCATCTAACTTAATCCTTATAAGACCAATATAAAACATAGAAAACTGCTTAAAATTCTTAGAAAACATGAACACGTCAATACCTAGGTGTGGATAATTGTCCTAAATAATATATTTACAACCGTATACCTATATACCTATACATATATTATAGTTATTGATTGATACTAGTTAATAACCAGTGGTATAACACCTGATTTCTCGTTATACATGTAGCTTTATATACATATTATCTCTGAATCCCTTTTCAATTATAACTTCTTATATACTGGTGACTTTTATATCTTATTATATCTAGCTGAATCATCCTTGCAAAATGACAGGTTTCTCATTGATAACTACTGAAGCAGTTTAAAATCCCTATTTCTGATACGTTGGGAAAACACAACAACTATGCAATTAATGAAAAATGGGTATAGGCCTAATAATACATGTATGTATAGACATATCATATATGAACATCAAAATATCTAGGTGATTACACAGGCCAAATCACAAACCCATGTTTCCAATGTCTTCACCCTTTGTAACCTTATCTTCAATTACTGTTTCATACACGAAAACAGATCTATCAAAAAGACAACTCACAATAATAAAGTATAGCAAAATCCATAAACTGACAAATGTTAGAAATGAACTTTTCAGATATTCAACCTAAGACTTGATTAGATTGAAGGTAAAAGAGTACCAGTATAAAAACAAAATGGTAAATATTTAATCTAATCCATACCAGTAACAGTGAAGATATACCTTGCTTAACTATTCTAATCTTCATCAATAATTTAATTATAATTTCACTTTCTTGTACATAAAAAAAATAGGATTATAATCAGAGAGAAAATAGGAGAAAATATCACTAACTAAAAAAAAACATTATCACGTTTTTTTGTTGAAAAAAATTGGCTAATATCGGTGAAAAGTTTCTGGAATACATTTTAAAAAGAGATATGTACAGCTAAAATTGAACTTCTATTAAGAACCAATGAAACTAAATTTCAATTTTATGTCCAAATTCATTATCAGGCAACTAAGTCCTGAAAATACTCCAAAAAAAAGTATATGATGTTCTTAACCTGAGATATAAAGCTTTACAGAATTAGATACAAACACAAAACCAAGAACATCCAAGCAAGAATTTGACTAAAATATCCACTGCAACACAACCACAAAACAGCTTGAGAGAAATATCCTACAAACAACAGCTTGTCCCTAAATCTATCAAACTTAACAGAAAAATAACAGTAAAATCATTTTTTATGTTTAAACTAGAATAAAATAATACATTTAATCAATAATCAGTATAAAAATATTTTTTAACAAAATCAATATCTTTAGAAATATCACAACTTTTGTATTTTTTTACCTTTTAATTCCTTTACTTCATAAAAACTGTATATTTAAAGAAAATATAGAACTTTGTTTTAATTTTCTGGAGTGGTAATTTGAGCTCAGCTCCAGTTTTGTAAGAGTGGCTTAGAGAACATTTTTTGTTCATACAGAGATACCATAAGACTAGCTTTGAATAGCTACTGTCTTTGCAAGTTCATTGGTCTATCAAATTTTGTTAATTTTTAAAGTGAATTTGAATATAATTTTGATTTTGAGACCTTTAAACTAATTGAATTCAACATCAAGGTTACTATAACAAAATATAGTACAGGCACACATACTAAAAGGCTCGACTGAGAAACTGCAGAACTGAAATTTTTTAACTTGTTCAACCTTGATTGACCTTCACTTCTGCACTAAAATATCCAATCAATTTTTTCAAAATTTAAAGTTTTCCACATGTTCAACTGTTGCTGTCCACATTTGTTGATAAAACAACATTTCATCACAACAAAACTTCACTCAAATTTCACATGTTTGTAGATTTCTACTTGGACTTCTTTGAAGAAGTTTCAACTTTTTACTTGACAAATAGAAAGTGAGTCCAATTCAAACACTGGTCCTATATCTTTACTGGAGATCCCCCAAAACTCAGTTCACCTTCACTCAACCACAGCCAAACTGATCAATTCTATTGTATTATTGAACAATACATGCCTTGATAGTGTGAAGATACTACACTGATTACTGGTCATCTTCCCACTATCAGGTCATAATCATCTGGTTAATTTAATGCCCTTCAGCTTATTTTCACATTAGTTCAACCACAGATATATATGGCTCAACCACAGATATATATGGCTCAACCACTATAAATTATTGAAGTAAACTCAACACCACTGACCAAGCCAAACTGTCTTAAAGGGATTGTTAAGAGGTTTTTTTTATACTTTTTATATGTATCGTGGACACTGATAGCATCAATTTGTACCATTCCAATTTTCAATCAGATGTGTGTGTTTCATGCAAATCCACGAAAACGAAGCATTTAACTGTCTCAGAGGGCCCAATGTGATATAAGCAGATTTTGCGATATTGAAATCATAACACGCTTCATTTTAGTGACATTTCAGGAACCACTGACATCTGACCGGGCCAAAGATTGTACAGGACCTTTGATGAAGGATGGGAAGGATACTTTACTGTGACTGCAAAGATTATACTCTGATATAGGGAAGATGGTAATGGTAAAACTTAGAAGGGAATTTGACAAAGAGAAGATGGTTCTTATAGAAATTTGACAAAGTGAAGATGGTTCTAATAGAATTTTGATACAGGGAAGATGATACAGGTTAAGAATGTTGTATTGTCACTAGACAAAGGGAGATAATTATGTTATAACACCTGAATGACAGTTAACACATCTCACCTGTCAAATAATATCACCTGATATCACTCTACCCTTGGGCTTACTCTTCATTTTCCTCATGTTACTATCTTTAGATTATTGAACATGAACAAGTACAAGATATCAAAATTGAAATGACATCAAATTTAGGTGAACTCAAAGAGTTGGGTTTCTTCAACAAGAAAAGGTCTTGATCACACTTGCTATCATTTTACCCTTGCCTTGTACATTCATGTTACTTTCTTTGGAATACTAAACTTGGAAATTACCAAATATCAACTTTGAATATGTTTGAAAAAAGTTTGGGCTTATTAAGACTGGATTCAGCAAGATAAATTTGCAAGGACAAGATCATTAGCCCACTTCTTGATATCCAATTTTAACTATCTAGGGACCTGTGCTTCCAACAATGCTGCTTTTGGTATAATTTAAGATATTTATGTCCTTTTTAATGCCTTGAAATGACAATTCACATGGCTATAAACTAGATTGTCTATGAGCTGTATAAGCTTATAGTTTTGAGTGATCACCACATACAATTTGAAAAGTAGCAAATCTAACATATATCATTGGGATTGAATGAACTCTTAATCCAGCCTATATTAGAGTACAAAGTTCAGTAGAAATTTCCCCTAATAATGACAGGATAAAAAGATTACAAGATATTATTTGACATCAATAATATAATACTGACAGACATGTTTTAATCCCTGTATTTGGCTAATGGCCATACAAGCCTTGGTGATAGATTGTACCCATTCATT